TGACCGTAGGGCTTCCCCCTTACCCCATAGCACTGCTGCAGATCTGTGTCAAGCCATGGACACAGCTCTCTGTTCCACAGGATGGAGTGTGTTAAAGTTGCTTAGAGCAAGGCCTACTTTAAGAGATACAAGATAACATTCGGAAGACGAGATGGTTAAACATTACTATGCTCAGAAACACTTGGTAATCCTGGGTGAGTAGAAAGCACCCAAATTCAGGATGATAGTTTGTGTGACTAACAGGGAGATCATTTGACATGTGGTTTTTGCCCATACAGAAGGGGATATGATCGTCTGCACAGCATATGTTCATGAACTTTCTAGGTATAGCGTGAAGGTTGGCCAGTTAGATTATGCTGCAGAACGTTGTACCGGCCTGTGCTGACCCACAGACTCCGCAATAGGCTTGACATGGATAAGATCTATGAAGGTCAAGTGGAGGTGAGCAGAGATGGGTATCACATGGGAGGCACTGACGGTTACTTGATGTTCTTCATCTGCTACTTGCCAAAACTACCAACGGAAATAAAGTTAGTGGGCCCTGAAGGAAGCTGCGGATTGAGGTTGTCTATCCCTCACAGTCACCAAACAGTTCCCTGGTTCTGATTCAAAAGGCAGGGAATTCGATGTGGAAGCACATCTTGGGTCAGAAGATCGCAGATTATATGCATTACCCTATGCAAGAAGATGAAGATGTTTATAAGAAATAATTCTCTTAATACATAAAGAATAACGTAATTCCAGTCATGACAGAGAGATGTGTAAGAAAGCTCATGATACTGAATGAGAGAATCCAGTCCACAAGAAGAAGTCTGGGAAAGAAGTTAAGAAAAGGTGGAACCATTCCAAGATGTCCCCTGTCCAGAATAAAGATCAGGTAGCTCAGAAGGCAAGTTTCCTCAGAGCTCAGGAGCAGGCTGCTGAGAGCTAAGCCAAACAACTATTTTCTTTTCTTTTCTTTTTCTTTTTTTCAGAGACAGGGTCTTGCTCTGTCACTCAGGCCGGAGTACAGTGTCACAATCATAGCTCAGTGTAGCCTCCAACTCCTGGGTTCAAGCAATCTTCCCCACTTGGCCTTCCAAGTACCTGAAAATATGGGCACATTCCACCACATCTGGTAAATAGTCATTTTCTATAAGATTATTCAGATAAAAATAATAAATTTATTCACCAAGCAACTTAAAAAAGAAAATTAAAGGAAGGGTCTTATCCAGAGGTTCTGCCTGGTCTAACCCACCCCTGCTTTCTTACCTGCCCCATCCCACTTCTCAGTCCTCCTTCCCTGGTAGATTCTTCCTGTCTATTACTGAGATCCCTGGCAACCTCCACCTCATCTTCTGCAGGAGGCCTTCGGCTAAGGACCCCCTCTTAAGCTTTTGGTGGAGGGTCTGAAATCCCATCTTCTTTGGACCCCTGCTCAGGGTTCCCTGTGCAGTCTTCTCACTCAGTAAAACCTCAACCATCAGGTCTGACTTTCCACCATTAGCATTTTATTTCTTGAGTTAAATCGGGGGTAGCAAATCTGCCTGCCAACCTCAATAAGCAGCTGTAGCAGCTGCCTGGAGTCCTGAGCTGAGGGCTCTGTGGCCACACAAGGGCTGACAAATAGCAGCAGCAGGAGTGATATAGTCACAGGAGTGATACAGTCACATGATATGGGTGCTGGTGGAAGAAATGATGGCATGTGGACAACACCTTTTGCATCCCTGGGTTAGACGTCACCCTGCCTGGGCCGTTCTTTCAGAATGCAAACCTGCAGAAGGACAGGCTTTGAAAGAAAGTGGAGGTAGTGGTATTCACACATGAAGTTCCCAGAAACTCTTCCCAACCCATCACTGGATGCCTCTGTTTCTGCTTAAAAGGTTGGGGATTGACACAGTTTTACCTCTGCTCCCCCTTGTGTTGTATGTCTTTAAAAAGGGGAAAAACCTCCTTTTCAGGGAGCTCAGCTTTTTGGACGCTAGTCAATCCCTGCTCCACAGATAGTTGAATAAAAGTCTCTTTCTTCCTCACTCGGGTGTCTGAAGGGTTCTGTCAGTGGCTTTTCCTGCAACACTAAGACAAAGAAGCTTAAAGGCCCTTCTTAATAAAAAGCAAGGACTCTTGACCAAACTTGGGTTAAAGGCTTACCTTAGAAAAATTAGAGTCTCTTCTAAGACGTAGGGTGTGGCCGGGTGCAGTGGCTCACTCCTATTATGCCAGCGCTTGGGAAGGCTGAGGCAGGTGGATCACCTGAGTTCGAGACCAGACTGGCCAACATGATGGAGCCCCGTCTCTATTAAAAATAAAAATATTAGCTGGGTGTGGTGGCATACCCCTGCAATCCCAGCTCCTCAGGAGGCTGAGGCAGGAGAATCACTTGAACCTGGGAGATGGGGGTTTTAGTGAGCTGAGATTGTACCACTGCATTTCAGCCTCGGCAACAGAGTGAGACTCATCTCAAAAAAACAAAACAAGGCTGGGTGTGGTGGCTCATGCCTGTAATCCCAGCATTTAGGGAGGCTGAGGTGGGTGGATCATGAGGTAAGGAGTTCGACCAGTCTGGCCAACATAGTGAAATCCTGTCTCTACTAAAAATACAAAAAATTAGCCAGGCATGGTGGCACGTGCCTGTATTCCCAGCTACTCGGGAGGTTGAGGCAAGAGAATCGCTAGACCCAAGAGGTGGAGGTCGCAGTGAGCTGAGATCATGCCACTGCACTCCCACTGGGGCAACAATGGGAAACTTCATCTCAAAACAAACAAACTAACAAACCAACACAATCGCTTTACTTTATATACAGGTAATACACGTATTGACACACACACAAATACACCTCTGAGGCCTGCAGGTCCTGGCCACCTCTACTGGCTCCATGGGTCTGTGAATTCCAGGGGGACCCAGCTACTCTGCCTCAACCATGACTGGATCTGCAGGTCACCACACAAGCCTGTCATCCAGAAGGCACTCAACAAACACTCAAGGGACCAAACCCATCAAGCCCAGTTTTTGGAGAAGGCTGGGACTCACCTTGAGTGAAGAGACGTCCTTGGTGCGGATGACGAATTCGTCCCCCTCTCCGCCACTCTTGCTGGCCTCCTCGTCCGTCTACCCACACACATACAGGCACCATCTCCTGCTTCTTGGCTAGGTGCAGGATCCAGGTGTCTGGCAGCTCGGGGTCCTCGGAGGATGGGGCAGTGGGCTCCTTGGGAGGCAGCCAGTGGGGAGGTGGTTGGTGGAGGCGGCGGTGGAGGCGAGGGCATGGCTGGAGGCTGTGGCAGTGGCAGTGGTGAGCTGGGTGTGAGGGCTACCAGCATGGGTGGTGAGACCTGCTGACCTTCTTTCTTTATTGGAGATTGTGGGTTGAGGGTGGAACCCCTGTGAGTGGCTAGTTTCCTTTTTGTTTGTTTAGATGGAGTCTCTCTCTCTTTGTTGCCCAGGCTGGAGTGCAGTGGTGTGATCTCAGCTCACTGCAACCTCTGCCTCCTGGGTTCAAGCAATTCTCCTGCCTCAGTCTCCCGAGTAGCTGGGATTACAGGTGCATGTCACCATGCCTGGCTAATTTTTGTATTGTTAGTAGAGACAGAGTTTCACCATGGTCAGGCTGGTCTTGAACTCCTGACCTCAGGTGATCCACCTGCCTCAGCCTCCCAAAGTGCTGGGATTACAGGCATGAGCCACTGCATCAAATCCTATGATCATTTTAGAGAGACAGTTTAATCACGACCTATCACCTGATGGTCACCTGACATGTCTGGGTATGTGAGAGGGGAGCCCTCTCTTGTCCTGCTCCTGTCTGCCTAACTACCTACTCTAACAGATGGAAAGAGGTGATAGATAGGGAGTGGGGAGAGAAGTAGAGGAAGGGGACATAGAGAGAGGAATGTGCATAGAGAGAGGAGGATGGAGAGGAAGGGATAGAGAAGAGAGAAAGGTAGTTAGGCATGGAGGAAGAAATGGAGAAGGGAAAAAGAGAGAAAGGACTGAGAGTTGGAGATACTTATCTGAAAGGAAATACAGGAAATAGAACACTGGTTGTCTCCATAGAAAACAACTTGGTGGGCGGGATGTGGTGGCTCATGCCTGTAATCCCAGCACTTTGGGAGGTGGAGGCAGCGGATCACCTGAGGTAAGGAGTTCGAGACCAGCCTGGCCAACATGGTGAAACCCCCATCTCTACTAAAAATACAAAAATTAGCAGGTGTGTTGGCAAGTGCCTATAATCGAAGCTACTAAGGAGGCTGAGGCAGGAGTATTGCTTGTACCTGAGAGGCAGAGGTTGCAGTGAGCTGAGATTGTGCCACTGCACTCCAGCCTGGCTAACAGAGAGAGACTCTGTTGAAAGAAAAAGAAAGAAAGAAAAAGAAAGAAAGAAAGAAAGAAAGAAAGAAAAAAGGAAAGAAAGAAAGAAAAAGAAAAAGAAAGAAAGAAAGAAAGAAAGAAAGAAAACAACTTTCTTTCTTGTAGAGGCAGGGGGTAAAGGGTGAAAGACACTTTTCATTGTGTCTCCTTTTTTTAAAAATCTTTTGAGTTTTGATGCATATGTCTAGATTAATTATACAAAATAAAATTTTGATTTAAATCAATAAGAAGAGATCCTGGCTTTGCCATCTTTCTGTGTGGCCACTAGCAAGTAATCGCCTAGAGTTCAGGTCTATGACAGGGGTGTGCGTTAACTATGCAGGGGACTGTTTCAAGGAGCCAGAGGATCTTATAAGCAAACCTCCCAGCACCGTGTCTGGCACCTGGTGCATGCTGCTGCTTTTATCAGTATCCCCAGCAATAAATCCGAGCAACGTTGGAAGCATCCCATCACCTGTCTGAGCCTCTGTTTTCCCATCCATCCCCATGGAGGAATAATGACCAGATTCACAGGGTTGGTGAGAGGATCCACCAGGAGAGTGCTCACACCTACTAGATGATCCTTGTCTGGACTCCACTCCTGGATGATCGGGTCACACCCCCAACGCTTGCCCATCCACCTCAACTCAAGTCAGGGGAGATGGAGACGGAGATAGAATGTGCTGAAAGTGGTTACTTTATTGGTTGGAAAAGGGAGAAACTGTGGTCAGCCCAGGAGGGAACACAGAGGCCGAAAAAGGGGGAGGGCAGGTGGGCTGGAACCAGACACATGGCCAGGCGGAAACTTTCCCTCCCCACTGCTCAGTCTGGTGGTGGCTGGAGCTGGAGGAAGAAAACTGTAATAGCATCAATAACAATATCCACAGGACAAGAGTACTTTCAGGTTAAATCCTGGACCAGCTCCTTAAGCTCACCCCATCCCACATACCCACGTAGCAAAGCCTCACCTTCTTGGGGCTCTGCTTGCATTTTCTGCAGGTTCTAGACATCTCCTTCAGACCATCACTAGCAGGCACCTGGTCCCAGCTGCCCAGTGTGGCTTTCCTGAGGGGCCATAGCCATTCCTTTCCTTAAGAATCCCTCTACTAGGCCGGGCGCGGTGGCTCATGCCTGTAATCCCAGGACTTTGGGAGGCCAAGGTGGGCGGATCACGAGGTCAGGAGATCAAGACCATCCTGGCCAACATAGTGAAACCCTGTCTCTGCTAAAAATACAAAAAGTAGCTGGGTGTGGTGGCGCATGCCTGTAATCCCAGATACTCGGGAGGCTGAGGTAGGAGAGCTGCTTGAACCCTGGAGGTGGAGGCTGTAGTGAGCCGAGATCATGCCACTGCACTGCAGCCTGGCGACAGAGCAAGACTCCATCTCAAAAACTAAAAAGAAAAAAATAATCCCTCTACTATCAGGAAGTTCCCATGCCTTCATTTCTTAGGTTAAAATGGGACTCGATGATCCATTAGATCTTATTTAGCCCCATTTTATAACCAAGATAACTGTGACTCAGCGGGTGAAAAGGCTGTGTCTGCACTAACATTTGAACTCGATCTTCTTGATTGCAAAGACTACCCATGCAGTTGGCATCTGAGAGCGCTGGCCCCAGGGAGACCATAGCTTTGTTTAGAGAAACCATAGTTCCCTCTCGGGCACTAAGAGTACACCCGCACTCTGGGCTTCGGTGGTCTCATCTGTGCACTGTCGGATTCTATCAGTTATCTTCAGGTTCCTTTGCTGAGGAATTGTTAAAAGTAGCACATGACAACCACGAGATTTCAACCCAAGGGCACCAGACAGCTCTTGCTTATCCTGTTCCCTCTGAGACCGACTCCCCACTGCAGCTCATCAGACTACCTTCCTTTCACTCTTCTTTTAGAACGGGCTGAGGGTCACCCTCTGATACACCTTTCCCAGCTGTCCCTGCAACTATCCTCCCTTTCCCTCCACCTGGGCAACGTGTTCTCCTGTTTTCCACAACACCTGGCCATTGAAACACTTTCTCTCTCCCCTTCACTTACCTCAGAAATTGGGAGTGACACAGGACACCTTCCCACAGCCATTGCGGCAGCATTTCATCCGGCCGGGACACTGGCTGTCCACCTGGCACTGGTCCTGGCAGAGGCCGAGTTGGGGAAAGACACTGTTCACCTGGGGGCAGGAACCCTCCTTATCTGGAGAAAAAGGAGTGAGGGTAAGTGAGCAGAGGGGATACGGGGAGATGAACTTGTACCTGCAGCGTGGCCCCCCACTGCCCCTCACTGGCTTCACTCGCAGCAGAGCTGCCTGCCTGAGTCCATCGGGGGCACCTGAGCTGCACTCAGGAGGCACAGGAAGATCACCTGCAAATCCCTCCACCTGCTCCCAAATGGAATCACAGGACCTCAGCTTGAGTGCCAGCTCTGTCTTTGTGGGACTTCGTGGCCTAGGGCCAGAAATCTCCCAGAGCCTCCATGACTTTAGGTATCGGTGGAACCAGTGCTACTCACAGCATGGAGTTACTGTGAAAGCAGTGGGGACAAACATATATTATTTCTCCCTGAAAGATCAAACTACTCTGTAGTAATAATGAGAAGTTACAACGGTGAACGCTTAATTAGTTCTTACTACATGCCAGGTATTATGCTAAGCACCCAACATACATTAAATCTTCTAATTCTCACAATAATTCTAAAAGCGGGTAGAGATCTGTTAATATTTCCTTGTGTTACAAATGAGGAAACTGAGGCACTGAGAGGCTAAGCAATTTGCCTAAGGTCACACAGAATTGAGGCAGAATTTGAAACTTAGGAAATCTAGCTCGAGTCTATGTGTTAACTGATGTTGCCACGGTTAAGCATTATGCTGCCATGTAAAGTGTGAAGTGGACTACACACGTGAGGGGTTACACACTTATAATCTTCACTCATATCTGTAGACCTAACCAGCCAAATCCATTCATCAACTGAAGGACATCATGGTTGCTTCCAACTTTTGGCAATTATAAATAAAGCTGCTAGAAACATTCATGTGCAGGTTTTTGTGTGTAAAACACAGGGTGATTAGCTGTAGAGGACAATGAAAGTGGCCAGATCACTGGGAGTGCTGGCTCATGGCTATAATCCCAACACTTTGGGAGGCTGAGGCGGGTGGATCATTGGAGGTCAGGAGTTTGAGACCAGCCTGGCCAATGTGGTGAGACTCCCCCCATTACCACTAAAAATATGACCTGGGTGTGGTGGCACATGCCTGTAATCCTAGCTAATTGGAAGGTTGAGGCAGGAGAATCACTTGCACCTGAGAGATGGAGGTTGCAGTGAGCCGAGATCATGCCACTGCATTCCAGCCTGGAAAACAGAGTGAGACTCCATCTCAAAAAAAATTTTTTTAAGTGGCTGACAGTCTTGACTTCCTAGGACAAAGAAATTCATTCTCTTGAAAGGGGTAGGAGCCTTCAATATTGGTCTGCCTTGGGAATAAATAGGGAACCATTAATGATGAAAACAACCACTGTGTATAGAGTATCTTCTCATTAACAGACACTTTACATGCATTATTTCACTTAGCCCTCATGTCAGTCCTATAAAGTTTGGAATTATTCCCATTTGTGAGCAGAGGCTCACAAAGATAAAGCAACTGCCTCAGGATCACACGACTAGAAAACGGCAGAATTAGGATTCAAACCTCCAGGCTCCCTCCCTGGCTCAGGAGGCCATCTGACCTTGTCCCTCTTCCTGCCTCAGTCTGTCCATCTGAGACAAGGGAACAAGTTCTTCATCCATCAAACAGCAAATACCTGCTCCTTTGCTCCTCCACCTCTCTCATCTGCCTGCCACCTGCATTCTCTCCAAATCTTCCTCTCTCCTTCTGGTCCTCCTCTCCCTGGTCCAGAGGGGCCTCCTGACCTGAATGTTGCCCTTGGTGGCTCCCAGTCCCCCTCCACTTCCCACCTCCCTGCTGATCGGCTTACTACAAACCTTGCCAGCCTGTGCTGGCATCTTCAGGGAAATAACAAAGAGGAAACGTCACCGGGGCTAAATTCTGGATAAAGATCATCATTAAGTACCTTGTTTTTCTCCAGGTCCTATCCCCGCCTCTAATCCTCAGCATTTCCCTCTGGAGAACGAGAAGCTAAGATTCCATGCTGTCTAAGCCACTGCCTGCTCTCATCAGCCTGGTGGAGACACTACAGCTCCAGCAAGCACTTTTGAGGGAGCCCCCAGCTCGCGCTCACTCAATCCTTAGAGGGGAAGAGATTGACTGAAAGACAAGGACAAGGAAGGGTGACAAATTGTCCAGGAAGGAATCCTCACTTTCTTCCAATCGCTCAGCCAGTCGGCCCGAAAGGCCAAAGCTGAACCCTCACTAGGGCTCCTGCAGCCGTGGGCTGGCGTGTGACCCTGGGCAAGAACACTGTTCTCTAGCTGATGCTCCCTTCCACAGCTCTAAGATGAGCTGGGCACTTGCCTAAATCTGTGAAGTTCCTTTCAGCCTGGACAGAGGAATTGGGGAAAATCTTGCCAGCCAGGCGCTCCCTGTCTTTCCCTCAGGTCTGGGGGAGTCTCCCAGAGAGGGACTCCAAGAGGAGAGGTGAGCGCCCCACGTTCCGGGCTTTCCCGCAGGGCAGGCTCTGACCTGTCCGAGAAGGAAACTGCGGCCCCGGGTCCCCAGGCCGCGGGGAACAATGTCTCAGCTGTGCGTGCCCGGAAGCCGGTCATGCACCAGAGACTCGAATCCAGCTAGGGGTGCGGACCCCCCTTGGCTGCGCTTCAACGCCGCCTTTGTCTCCCCCGGGGCCGTGCGAGGGAGAGCACTGGCGGATCTGGTTTCATCTGCGTCGACTTTCCCGGGGGTTCCCGGGTCCGGGGCGCCCCTATTCCCGGAATCCGGGCGCTCCCGCCTCCTCCAGCCCAGCCCCGCCCCGCCCCGTCCCAGCTCTGCCACCTTGAGGTTACCATTGGGCAGAGCGCAGAAGGTGGCGCAGCCCGCGCTGCAGCACTTGAGGTTGTCGGCGCACCCGCTGTCGGAGACGCACTCCTGCGTGCAGTTCTGGTCAGCCTGGAGCTCGGGGCACACGCCCATCTTCTGTGCTCCTGTGCCTGGGAGGGGAGGCCCGGGACAGTCGAGGGTGGGGCGTGGCGCCAGCCTCCGAGGATGCCCACCTCCTGCTTCAAACCTTAACTCCAAGGAATTCTCAGCCTCTGGCCCTAGGAGTCCCCTTACAGTCCCCAGAGACTCCCACTTCCAGACCTCGGGTCCCTGATCCCCGGGAGTACAAGAGCTCCCTAACCAGGAACTTAAGCAGCTTCCAGCACTGGACCAGCTGCAGCCGGACCCCTGTCCACTCCTCCCTCCTGACCTCCCTCCTGGGACCCGAGAGCCAAGGCTCAGGGCTCCTGGTTTCTATTCCCTTGGCGTCGGAGCCCTCAGATCTCAGCCCTAGGGGTCCCTCCGCACAGCTGAGTGTCTACAAGCTTCCGAGGTCGAGGCAGAGCACCCCCAACCCCCCGCCCACTGTCCCCACGGAGTGTCCGCCTTCAGCACAGAACCCGCCTAAATTTCAGCCATCAATGGTCTCTCCGCCTCCAGCACTTTGGACCCCACATCCTAGGCTCCGAGAGTCACCATCCTCAGGACCCAGGGGACCCCCCCCACCCCCGTCCACTTCCGCCCCAGGAATTCCCACTTCCCCAGCCTCCACAGGCTACGCCTCCGCCTGGCTCCATCCTGGCGCTCGCTCGTGCCTCTGCCCCTCTGGGCGCCGGGCCTCTCCCCGCCCCACTCACCTGGGACTAGCGTAAAGCCGAAGAGCAGCAGGCCGAGGAGCAGGGCGGCGGCTAGCGGGCCGAGGCGACTGGCAGGCATGGTTCTACGCCGGGGCGGGGTGCAGGTGTGTGCCGCTGCTCTGGTGCGGGGATTTAACCGCGCGTAGTGGAGGGGGAGTGGAGTAGGGGCGGGGCCGAGAGGGGAAGGGGAGGGTAGAGGGCCTTGCAGGCACCGCGGGCGGGCGGGCTGCCACCTCAGGCCATTTCACAATGCCCAGGGATCAGGTATCACTCTTGGCCCCAGTGGGAACCAGGAACTTACGCAGCTTCCAGGACGGGACCAGCCGCGGCCGGACCCTTGACCACTCCTCCCTCCTGTGGCCTGAGAGCGGAGGCCCAGGGCTCCTGGGTTTCTATTCCAACACTCTGAGGTTTCTTCAGAATGTCCCCTCCCCACGTTGAGGAGGATAGGGCAGGGACCGCAGGGAGGCAGTAGAGCAAGCGGATTAAAGGGTTCGATTTGGGGTCAGCTAGATGAGAGGGCAGATCGTCCTTGACGGAGGGCTAGGGTAGTGATACAGAACCCACAGTAGGGGCTAGAGACATAGCACTTGTAATTAACAGACGAACCCGCCTGAGCAGAAACAGGCCCAGGAAGGCAAAGCGCCTACCAGTCTCAAGGCATTTGGGTATGTGTTTCTGCCTCCCTCTCTTGGCCCTACCAGCCCCCGATCAGGGCTGACTGTGCCAGGCTCTGTGCTCCTTGTTTCAAAGAATCGTCCAGCAAACCTCTGACCCGGGAGTTACTGTTCTCAGCTGTATATGACAAAGGAACTGGGTGTTCAGGGATTTAGGACCCCACCTCCACCACAAGGTCCCATGCAAAGCTGCACAAACAAGGTTTTGAACCCAGGTCTCTTCCTCCAGGCCCTTGGTTTTTCCATTCCATTTTAAATATTCACTGGGTGCCTGCTACATGACATTTATAGGGCAAGACACTTGGCGAAGAGAAAGTCGTCAAAAAGGGCCCTCCAGCACAGGTCTTGAAGGGGTGACAGGGTCAGGGATCTGACTCCCACCTCCACCACTTTCCATCGGAGGGGCCTTGAATGAATCCTTTCCTAGATCTGAGCTGCCGTGTCATCGGTGAAAATGACACCTATCTAGGACTTCAGTGGGAACACAAATGCAATGTTCCTGCCACGGGACAACCCAGTACTCACCGAGAGCATAGAGAGTAGATCCACACTGATTGACACAGGGGCCCCAGGTCTGACCCATGCTAGGCACTGGATAAATGGAGTAAGTGCTCTATACATTAGTGACTCCTATGAGTAAGGAGACCGATGAGTGTAAATCAAGCTTTAGAATCCAGAGTGTTAAGTGCCAAAACAGGGTTACCCAGGGAGTTGGGCGAGAAGTGCCTTCGAACATCTTTCCTGCTCTAATGAGTTGAGGTTCTGGAAGCTCCAGGAGGTCTTTGCTGCTGGAGGCTAGAGGGGGTCTGGAGCAGGGAATGCTGGGATGACAAGGATAGGTGAGTAGCGTTTGGTGATGTGAGTACATCTGGCCACTGTCCCCAAAATGGATGCTGAGAACACTTCCCCCAGCTTCTCATGCTCAGCCTGGGGACTGGGGACATGCCGTTGTTGGGAGGGGCCAGGGCTATTTACTCTGAGCTCAGTCAACAATGAAGGCAGGAGGCAGGTGGGGACACAGCCCATAGCAGGTAAGTGAAACCCAGTGTAGAGCACAGAGAGAACACAAATGAGCGGCAGGTTTTTAGTCTGTGGACCCAGCTGGCTACTGGATATTCAGCCCCGGGCACGGCTGCCAACAGCTTTCTTCCAGGGCCCTATTCAGCTCCCTGGGCCAGGAAACTGCCCAGCCTTGCCCCTCCCAGGCCCTTATGGGCACCCTGTTGATTGGCTCTCTCTTACAGGAATGCAAACTGAGGTGGGGTGGCAGGGCCAGGCAAAAGGATGGGGAAGAAATTTTCATCAGCCAATGGCATCACATGTTTAGATTTTGTGGTGCCAAGTGCTATGCTAGGTATAGTATTATATATTCTCTTTACATCTTTTAAAAGAGCAGAGGCTTTAGAACCAAATGCATCCAGGTCCAATCAGGGCCAGTGCATCCATGGCCTCTTTCTGGCTATGTGGCTTACAGAAACACTTCACTTTTTGGACCTGCGTCTTCTTCCTGCATGAACTGTGTATCATCCTAACTGTCTTGGAGGTATTATAAGGGTTAAAGGAAAAAGCATAACCAGAGGTTGCAAATCTGGCTAGAGCACATACATTAACTACAGAGTATGTTTTAAAGTTTTAAGTTAGTTGCCAACATTTAAAAGTAGAGAATTTCATATAAAAATAAACCTCTAGCTTCTCTTGGAAAAAGTAAAAGATCTGTCAACACAGTCCTGCAATCTTTCATATAACAACCATTAGCTAGAGCAGTGGGTCTCAGAATTGAGCATGCAACAGAGTCATTTTTTTGTTTTTTGTTTTTCTGAGACTGAGTTTTGCTCTGTCCCCCAGGCTTCCCTCCTCTCCCCTCCCCTCCCATTCCCTCCTCTCCCCTTTTCTTCCCTTCCCCCACCTCCTGGGTTCAAGCGATTCTCCTGCTTCAGTCTCCCAAGTACCTTCGATTACAGGTGCCATTACACCCAGCTAATTTTTGTATTTTTAATAGGGACGGGTTTTCACCATGTTGGCCAGGTTGGTCTCAAACTCCTGACCTCAGGTGATCTGCCTGCCTCAGCCTCTCAAATTGCTGGGATTACAGGCATGAGCCACCACACCTGGCCTTAGCAAGCATCAGAATCACTCAGAAGGCTTGTTAAAAGACATATTGCAGGATCCTTGTCTCCAGAGTTTTGATTAGTAGGTCTGTGGCAGGATCTGAGAATCTGCATTTCTAACAGGTTTCCAGGTGATGCCAGTGCTGCACGGCTAAGGACCATACTTTGAAAACCAGAATCTAAGTAGAGCTACTCTCGTTCTATGAGGGAAGCATTTCCTCCAGTTTCCCATAATCCCTACCACCACTGTCCCCCACCTCTGCAAATACTTCCATTCACAGTGCTCACCTGACCCCAGGAGGGTATTTAAATTTGTGACCTCTGGGATGGGCACAAAGTAAGTGTTTGGTGAAAGACAGCTTATGTTTATTTAATAATCTTATGGATTAAGTATTATTACAGGTTAAGAAACTGAGATTCAGCTAAGCAAAGTGATTTGATGGAGGAAACACAGCTAGTAAACCAGAAGGAGGATTTTTGCCAAATTACTTGTGCTGTCCCAGTTATTTCAATATTATACACACTCGCACAGATCTAACTGAGGTTAACATAGATGACGCATCTGAAGTTTTCAGCATGATTTCATGAGTGGTAAAAAAATATTTATTAGGGAAGAGGAGGAAGAAAATAAGCAGAGAGGGAAGATGAAAAAGTTTATAGTGGTAGGGGATGTCAGTTAGCTGCAGACAAGCTCACTCTAAAATGACTGTAAACAAGTTAATGGTGAAAATTTATGAAATTTCCAGGAACAACAAGGTGTCTGTTGGAAATTGATATTGGAAATAGATGCTTGGTGCTACAAAGAAAAATCAGCACTGAGACAAAGGATCTTTCAGCAATGCAATTTTTACTTCCTGGGCTGCAGGAAAGGTACTGTCACTAGCCATCTTGCCACAAGAGTACATAGAACAAAGGGAATACACACAAATTTATTCCTTATGCATTTGGGGTCGTCCTTACCGCTGTGTCTGATCTCAGTTGGCTGGAGCCAGACCTCACAATCTAAACTAAAACCTGATTGGCTAACAACTTAAAACTTTTCTAAATAGGTAAAAGCAATAGAGAGCTGGGACATGCCTGTGAGCATATCCAGTACAAGGACATAGAATGTACTATGGGCCTGTAAGCACAGTACGTCTAACAGCTAGAGAGAATATTTTGCAAAGCAATCCTAGGATTTCTGTAATAACACAGTTATTAGCATACTTATTCTTTAACAAGAAGGAAAACTTTAAAAAGGAACTTTTCTACTTCCCGCAGTGTCTTTAACCATGTTATGGGCCTCTCCTACTGGACTTTTGGACCCAGTCAAACTTCCTTTCGCTCCATGGAAACCTCTCTCTTTGGGCATATTGGCTATTTTGTTTTGTCACCTAGCATCCATTTGTCCTTTTTCTGATAAAGCACCCTGAGTTTACTTTGGGGCAAGTAACTCTTCCTCAACCCAAGACAGGTGGGGCCAGGGAGAATGTCAATTAAAGTGCCTGGTCTTCCCCTAAGCAGAGTGGCCAATCAGACGCTTTTCCTAGAATTGTAATCTTGAGCAATGAATGATAAAAGACTTGAAAATGTGTGGAGCTTACTCAGAGGTGTCCTGGGAAGACCTCTGTTCTGACTTTACCGTCCTATGTGGATGTAACCAGGTTTCTCATTTCCAGACCCAGTGGTCTTTTCTTAGCTCTCATTCTCTTCTAACTCACAAGTAAAGTCTTCATGGCATACATGCAATAATGTTCAAACCAAATCCTCATTAAAAAAAAAAATACACATGGTCTCAGCACAAAAACTGTGAAAAGCAGAGCTTCTGTATTTGAAGTACCTTGGGTCCAGCACCAAACCAAGTAATTTTCCAAGAACAGTGCACTTTTCAAGTTAATTCCTTGACTGTAAATTCTACTGACTCTTCATTGCCTTCAGGATAAAGACTGAACTCCTTAGCCTGCCTTTTTGACTGATCCCAACTTTTTTTTTTTGAGACTGAGTTTTGCTCTTGTCGCCCAGGTTGGAGTGCAGTGGCGCAATCTCGGCTCACTGCACCCTCTGTCTCCCAGGTTCAAGTGATGCTCCTGCCTCAGCCTCCCGAGTAGCTGGGATTACAGGTGCCTGCCACCACATCTGGCTGATTTTGTATTTTTAATAGAGACAGGGTTTCACCATGTTGGCCAGGCTGGTCTTGAACTCCTGACCTCAGGTGATCCGCCTGCCTCGGCCTCTCCAAGTGCTGGGATTACAGGTGTGAGCCACCATGCCCAACCATCCCAACTTTTATTTCCAGCTATATTCCTTACTTCATGCTGCACAAACTTTCCCTGGAGCTCATTGTCTTATCAAACCTTCCTTGATCAAGCTCACCCCAGAGTCTTCTTTCTCAACACCCTCAGTGGCCAGTACATAGA